TTGGGGGGAGGAGCCGAGCTGGGGTTCTTCCCTCTCTCTGGCCGGCTGTGGCGTGATGGTGGCGCTTGTCTCCCTTATTCGCTCTGCGACGGGAAGGAAAGAGGTCGCGCGGTTGGAGAGGGAGGAACGAGCCGCCTGGCCGGGTTTTGTGGCTTCCCAGGTCAGAGAATCGAGGCGCCAGAAGTCGACAGGTGAAATAGTTCGGCTTGGAGGGAGATCCTGTTGGCTCGTTTGCAGTATTCCTTCCCCATTTTACTATAATGCAATTCCAAGGTGGCTGTCACCATTGTGCTGACTGCAGCCTCTGTTTAAAAAAAAATAATTGACAGGAGGTGGTTCAGACGGTCTCATCCTGATTGTCAAGAGTTTCCAATTTGTAGACTCCCAAACTGCATTCTTAGGAGCCAGCCTGGAGCTTTCTTGTATTGTATTTTATTTATTTGGGTTATGTATATATTTATTTGAAGGTACCCAGTGAGGTGTAGTAGTGGATTGAGTGACAGACCGGGACTGTGGAGACCAGGGGTCAGATCGCTGCTCAGCCATGGAAGCCCACTGGGGAACTGGAACTGGTAAAGCCAGTCACTTGCCATGAAAGCACTATGAGGATTGCTGTAAGTCTGGCGCTGCATGCCAGCTTAACTTAACTGTATATTTATTTAATAGAGGAAGCCTCTAACAGAATGGAGGAAATGCCAATACTTTCAGCAGCCAGAACGCACAAGTGACCTTCCACTGTTGAAAAGCGGACCTGAAAGAGGTGGGGTTGCACTCTAAAATACAGTGTTTTTATCTAATGTACTGTATGTGAGTGAAGGAGGTTGTAAATATTGCCTGTTTGTTCTGTTTGTAGGCTTCATTATGATGAAAAGCCAGTTTTCATACTATATCTGCACAGAGCTATATAGGGGAGGGAAGGCTATGAAAGGATGTGTAGGGGACTGGCTGCTCTTTAATCCATGTCATAAAAGTTGGGTTCTCTCATGTTAAGCTGTTTAATGCTTCCCTTCATTTTCCCCTCTCATTTTCTTTTAGGAAGTTTAACTAGCACTTTGATTTAGTCAAAATTATCGATAGCTCTTTAGCTACAATACTGTGAGGGAAAAGTAAACAGATTCTGACCCAGTTCAGTTTCAGTCACGGGGAAAGCCACTTCTATGAAGTTCTCAAATAACATTACCTCAGCTAACTTATTATACAAACAATGTGAAATGTAGGTTGCTGTTGACAAGGGAATGTACTTGTGAAGTGCAATGTTCTCTTTGAATTTTGGGAATTTAAATGGCATGAATTTCTTTTGGCAGTGCTAAACAATGAGATCTGTTGTGGGCCAATGTGAACTTGTGACTGGAAAGAGCCTTTCTTTTCTCCTAAATTAATATTTGCAGAAGTGTGGGGTGTAACAGGTACATTGTGATATGGAGTGGACAAATAATGTCAGTTTTACTTTCTCCCACACTCAAAATGTTTAAACTCTTTGGCACTTTCTGTATGTTTTATGAAATAATTTGCGAATTTTTGTAAGTTCTTGTAAGAAACAAATGGAATGAAAATCTCAGCTTCAGTGCTGGCGCAGTTCAGTTGGTGCAGCTATTTCTAGTATGATACTTCTCATGTTCAAAAATTGAGTTTGAAGGGAAAAAAGAGATGGCAGCTCTAATTTAGAACCACAAAAGAGGAATGTTAGCAAGTATACCAGAATATAAGTCTTTTAAACATTCAAACCCCTTGTACTGGACTTGCAAATATATCTGTTTGAGTTTTTCCCATACTTGAATATTTAAGTCCTCCATTTCTTTCTATTGAACTGATGGAGAATTTGCAAGCATTTGAAAATTCTAATTAAAAATGAACCAGATGAAATGTCCTTCTATTCCTATCTGTGAGAAGGTGGTAATGATGATAAGGGAGGTTGCCACCCTTGCCAGAACTGTATCCCTTATTGTGATTCTCAGTACCACAGTGCTATAAAGAGAGATTTTAGAGGTGACTATGCAACCTCTAAGGGACGTGGTTGCGCTGCAGGTTAAACTGCAGAAGCCTCTGTGCTGCAAGGTCAGAAGACCTGCAGTCGTAAGATCGAATCCATGCGACGGAGTGAGCTCCCATCGCTAGTCCCAACTCCTGCCAACCTAGCAGTTCAAAAGCATGTAAATGCTAGTAGATAAATAGGTACCACCTCGGTGGGATGGTAACGGTGTTCCGTGCTGGCCACGTGACCACGGAAGATTGTCTTGGGACAAACACTAGCTCTATAGCTTGGAAACAGGGATGAGCACCATGCCCTAGAGTCAGACACTGGACTAAATTTCATGGGGAACCTTTACCTTTACCTATGCAACCACCTGTGTTGCCAGCCTTTCAGTTGAGCAGCACAGCAGGGGACATGATTCATCATTCTTCTCCCTTTTGGACTGTTCTTTCTCTTAAAATTAAATAGTTGTTGAAGAAAATCTGGGCCCTTTTCTGTTTCCATTATCGCCTTTAATGAGCTGAAGCTGGAAGACTGCACTCTGATGGAGACTTGCCATGCTTCTGGTCATCTTGTTTTCCCTAGCCAAATAGAAACTTTTTGAGTTTTAAAAGGGGGAAAGGAGGAGGGTCGAAATGCTTGGCTGCCTTTTGCTTAGACAGGTGGGTGATAAATTCCAAACTGCTGGCTGAGGAGGAGATTGAAGCCATACTCTCTCCCATGGGCATTTTGCAGAGTGCAGACTACAACTATGTATTTCAATCTAAAATGCTACACCTGGCCCCGAACAGCAGCCATGAGACTTTGGGACTTTAATAAAAACATATAATTTTGGAGCTACCTACGAGAACTTGGTGCACAGCCTGAGGAAGATGAATTATTATTGAAAGCTTGCTGTTTATTTTTAGTTTTGTTAATTTTATTTAGTGGTCCAGTAAAAGTATCACCTGTTCCTGCATTTGTAGCATTTTTAAACTATCAGCACTTTTATCCATGTACTGATCTCATCTGATAAATTTTTGTTTTCTCTTTGTGTCTCTATATCTCTTGAAAAACTAAGGATTTTCCTTGTACCTGGGTGATCACATACCTACCTAGCAATCCTTAGATGGTCTGGGCTATTTTGGGATAAATCCAGTATTAGTCCTGCTTATTTTGATTACATAATTCCTGTTGAACTCTGTGAGACTTCATTTTGGTGTAACTTAAAAGTTACATTCTTTTCTTTAATGGGTTTACTTTAAGCAAAACAAGCTTCAGAATTAACATCTGACTTCATGAATCTGTTAGCTGGCACATGGCTGCCAACTCTTGTTAAGTGTATAGAGATAATAACTTCTGCTCTAGAAGTATTTATAAACATAGTGTCTGTATCTTTCTCTGCTTTTACTACTTTACTTTGATTTTTCAGCAGGATATTAAGGGGAACATTTTGCATTAGTTATACACAGAAAGAATAGACACAAGGATTATTAACAAGGTAAATACAAATTGTTCCATAATTTCTGTTACTTAAATCTTTTTTGTAGATGGGAAGAAAGATGTGTATGTTGGAAGGAGATAAGAAGATGGGATGGCAGAAGTGTGAAGGAAGGAAGATAATTTTAAAAAATCCCCAAACATGTATTTTTTTGAAACAACAACAGACAATTCTGATAAAAATAACCTCCTGATTACTGCTGGGCACTGCTCTGGGTAGGGGAGAAAATGCATATGAAAATCAGAGAGCAACTGGTGTTCATGTGAAAAGAGAGTTGACAGCTCTTGCCTTCAGTCCAAACAACTGTATCTGTTGGCATTAGTAACAATGACATATAGGCTGAACACACCTAGACATTATTTTGGGATAAATGTTTGAAACGAGTTAAAGGCAAGTCATTCCATTCCATTTAAAAAAATTGCCATTGTGCTCCGAGATTTCAACTGATGTAACAACTCTGGTCAGTAATGTAACAGCACCTGCTGTGGAAGCATTGATGTGGGGGTTAATTCAGCTGGAGTAAACTGGGAGTTGTGCAGATAGACCGTGTGCTCTCACAAATGGATCTGATTGTGTTTTCCCCACCATTCATATGAACTGAGGCTTCTCTTGGGATTTTCTGTACCAAACATTAACAAAATCTGTGACTTTTCATGGCTGCTTCTCTCTGCAACAAGATGTGCTTTGTTTTAGCTGGGAGGGTGGGGTTTGGTAACTTACTAACTTTTTTGAAACATGCTTAACTTTGCCTTACCTATTTTTAAGGCTGTCGAACGTCCTTTCCTTCATCCCTTCATTCTTCCACATGTTCACTATATTCCTCTGAACTTCTCACTGGTTATATAGTCAAATTGCAGCACTGTTGAGGAAAGTACAGTGGTGCTTCACTAGACAATGATAATCCGTTCCACTGAAATCGCTGTTTAGCGAAATTATTGTCTAGCGAAAAGCATTTCCCTATTGGGATGCATTGAAACCTGTTTAATGCGTTCCAATGGGGAAGAATCGTTGTTTAGCAAAGATCAGCCACAGGAAAGCCACTTTGCGAACCACTGATCAGCTGTTTAAATAGCTGTCTTGCGAAGCTTATTTCCCAAAAACACCCGTTTTGCGAGTGCGGAGGGAGCTGTCAAAATCGTTGTCTAGCGAAAATTGGTTTGCGAAGCAGGGACCAAACATTGTCCAGCAAAATTCCCCCTATTCCCACTGTAGCGATCACAAAAAGTCAATGTCTAGCAAAAAAACTGTCATGCAGGGTAACTGTCTAGTGAGGCACCACTGTACACTGGTCAGTGTGAGATCAGCTAAAGAAGCTGCAGCAGCTCTTCCTGCTTCTGTCTTGGATCTTGGCAATTACTAAGGCTCTGGAGAGTCAGCCTCAGTTGTTCTTGCCTTCCACTTTTTCTGGTATCTAGTGTGTCTTTTGCCATGGCATTCATTCTCTTGCTTTTCTTCTTTCCCCTGGAGGACCACTATCTTCTCTTTTTCCCCCCTTTTCTTTCATTTTTTTTGGATAGCCTTCACCCCTGGGATGTATATGTGTTAGCTTGGGCCATTTTTATTTATACCGTCTCCCCAACCCTTCTCTTTAAATGGAAGGCAGTCACCCTGTGCAAGGCACAACAGGCACCTGGTTAGTGTTCTTCCTCAGGTAACCCCCAGTTTACTTCCCTGTCTACCTCTTCTTTTTCCTTGAGGAAAGTGCTGGTGAATTTTTAAAAAGAAATTCCGAAAGAGATATTCCAGCAGGGAAATAGATTTCTAAGTCTCTTTTCCTGAGAATTTGGAGGACAAGCTGTTTCAAAAAATCCAATAAATAAATAAAACCATGGCTAAAATCAATGCAGTGTAGTTGTAAAAAACCAGTAAGCCCCACTTTCCTCAACAACCAGCTAGGATGGAACTCCCCCCCCCATTTGAATAAACCTGGAGTTCTTTTATCTTTCACACAGTATACTGTTCAGTTTCCTTTGGGAAACTGGAACATCCAGCTTTGTTTGTAGGTCAGGCACTGATAGTCTTATCTTCTGCAGAGTGACATCAGCCCATATTACATCAAGCCAGGGCAATGGATCCTTGAATTACATAATCAAAATAGTTACTATTTACATATTATGAGCATAACATGAAGACACAAGTACTGAAATTGTTTATTAAGAGCAAACTTTGGTGTACTTAATTAACAAATTATTTGGAGGACTCATCCAAGAGATAAGCATGTTTAACACAAAGAGTATTGTATATGATCCATAGAGTCCCTTCCATCTCTAGTTCAAAAGTGATGATAACACGAACAACATTATTTGTTACTCTGAAAGTGTTACGTGTTTGGTAGTCATGATTTCACACGTTTAAAAAAACAGTCTATGTTGGACAATGCACAGTTGCTGTGAAGGATTTGGCAGGAATTGGATATTAAGTATGCATTTGGAGAACTTCTTTATTTCCTGCTTTATTTCTAAGACAGCCTTGCAGCAACCATTGCCCCTTGAATATAGTCAGTGTCCGAATCTAACTGAATGGATAGAGTCTCACTAATGAGGCCCCTTGAGTTCTTTGTCACCCACAGAATTAGACGACTGCCATATAATGAGGAATTCAAGCGTGGACTCATTAATGGGTGGTTGTTTGCTGTTCAAGGTTAGGCTAGTGCACTTATGGCAGCATAAATATTCAACTGAATTTGGGCTGTTGTATTTAGGACCGACCTCTTTCCCTGATAAGTGGAAGAAAAAAGATCTCTCAAATACCTGAGGATGCTGGCATCTTGACTCTAATATCCATGAAAATATGGGTCTTGTTTCTAAGTAAATGGGTCCTACCATCAGAATGTCAGGGTACAACCTACCACATTCTGCAGCTGGCAGTTTTTACATCAGCTTAATTGGTTACTTCTTATGATTCAAATGTGGGGAACCTCTTTCAATCTGAGACCTAAATTCAGTTTCGGTGAGTTGGGAGTGGGTGCCTTCTAGTGGTGAACAGGATAAAGTCAAAAGGCCAGAACCAAAAATAACGCCGCCTTTCAGCCGGTAACGGAGCCTAAAGAGTAGCCTTTCAGTTTTTTCACTGGGAGACCAATGAATGTTGGTCTTGTGGAGAAAATGCCCAAAGGCTTAGAATCAGATCCGATGAAGACTTGATTATGCCCAGGAGCCTGAGTTTCCTTGCCCTCCTGTTTTTTTGTGTACAAATGATAACAGGATTATAATTGCAGGCTTCTTATGTACTCTGAATTATAATGATTTTACAGAAGCTGTTGCTGCTGCGGCTTCAAAGCATAGTAGCATGTCAGAATGTTCATTATCTCTGCATCGTGTGGATTACATGAAGCACTGCTACATTTTTTGTTTAACAGTAGCTTTTCTTAGTAACTGCCTGACTTAAAAATGGACTGCTGTTTTGTTTTTTATTGTTTTTCCCATCCCCTTCCAGTTTTTATATTGTTTATTTTTAATATTATACGTCACTTTGGGTCCTCTTGAGGAAAAAAAGCAAGAGATAAGTGTTTTAAGCAAATAATAATGAATACTTTTATTTTACTTGCAGGTTTTTTAAAGCATCTTGCATTAAAACACATTTTTATGGCGCCAGGTACAATGTCCTCCTTGATTAGAGTCTCAGCAAGAAGCACCGTCTCCACTTTGCATGGGAAAGGACGTTTGTTTTCTAAATGTGTTTCAAGCCAGGACAAAGTAGCATGGAAACGTTTGCTTGCCAAACACCCCTTTTTTTCTTTGCTGGCGAGCTGCAATTGCAGCCTCAACCATATTGCTGCTGTTCAAAAAGCTTTCCGACATACCTCAACAGAAGAAGAAGACTTCTCCTTCCACCTTACGCCATTACAGATCAATGACATCTTAAGGGCTAATGAATTGTCCCACACGGTCCCTGAATTTGATGGGAAAAACCCAAGCTCTGTGCTGAAATTTGAGAGTAATCACTTGGCTGCGAACAACCCAACAGAAGACCGCAGAAGTGCAACTACTTGCTTGCAGACCAGAGGGATGATGTTTGGAGTCTTTGATGGCCATGCAGGTTATGCTTGCGCCCAGTCCGTCGGTGAGAGGCTGTTTTTTTACATTGCCATTTCCCTTCTGTCCCAGAAAAGACTGGAGGAAATGGAGTGTGCCATGGAGTCTATGAAGCCAGTTCTGCCTGTTCTGCAGTGGCACAAACATCCAAACGACAGCTTCTTTCAAGAGGTAGCTTCTCTGTATTTGGAGCAGCTCAGGGTTTATTGGCAAGACTTGCTGAACACGGACATGGAACTAGGCCTTAGAATAGAAGAGGCTTTGACCTATGCATTCAAAAGGCTGGATTCAGACATATCATTGGAGGCTCAGGCTCCCTCTGAAAATCAACTGATGAGAAACATTGCTCTTCAGGTGGCTTTCTCAGGGGCAACTGCCTGCATAGCTCATGTTGATAGTGTTCATTTGCACATTGCAAATAGTGGTGACTGCAGAGCAGTTCTAGGGGTTCAGAATCAAGATGGGACGTGGTCCGCCCTGCCACTTACTCGAGATCACAATGCGTTCGACAAGCTGGAAATCTTAAGAATGAGAAGGGAACATCCTGCTGAAGAAGAGGGCACACTCATTGTGAACAACAGGTTGCTTGGTATCCTTGTGCCTTCAAGAGCTTTCGGAGATGTCCAGTTCAAGTGGAGCCAGGAACTGCAGCAGAGTGTGCTGGGAAATGGCTGCAGCACAGAAGCTCTGAACATTTACCAGTATGTGCCTCCAAACTATCACACACCTCCTTATTTAACGGCAGAGCCGGAAGTCACCTACCACAAAATTGGAAGGCAGGATAAATTCTTAGTGATTGCTTCAGATGGTCTATGGGACATGTTGAGTAATGAAGAGGTAGTCAAGTTGGTGGCAGGCCATCTGGTTGAAGCGAATGTCAAGAAGGCGCGTGTGACTCTTAAGAAACCAGCCAAACTGGGTTACATGCAAAACTTGCTACGTCAGAGGAAGGCCAAGCATATCTACTCTTATGACCAGAACGTAGCTACCCACCTCATCCGACATGCAATTGGCAATAATGAATATGGAGTGATTGATCCAGAAAGGCTGATGGCAATGCTAACTCTTCCTGAGGACTTAGCACGCATGTATAGGGATGATATCACAGTTACTGTAGTATATTTTAATTCTGATGTAATTGAAGAGCACTACAGAGAGAATGAATAAGGGACTCATTTTGTTACGAAATGTCGATATCAAACCCAAGGTCCACTAGGACTTTTTGTGTACTTTGCCCATTCCCTAGGAATGCTATTGTATAGAAGCTCCTTAATCTGTATTGAGTGTCTCAGCAGCCTAATCTTTGGTGCTTTTAATAAAGAATTAATGTAACAATTAAAATATGTGATTTGGTTAAAGTAATGCATTATTGATTTAATATATTCAGATATTTCAGTGGAATAAAGATAGATGGCATGGACAGCATTGTGGCCATTTGGATGTGAGAAATGAGAGAAATGCTCCTAATTGTTCAGTTACAAGGCTGGCCATCTCTCATTGCTTTTAGGATTGGTAGCAAATGACTTAGATTGAGGGTGATTTGTATAATCAATTGGAATAGTACTTTTTATTCTGAACTTTATTTGCAAAATAGCCATGAGTGCAAAGACAACTTACAGGCATGTTGTCTTGCACTGGGCGTACTCTCAATGCAAATTCTTTATTGCGTAGTGGCCTGGCCCAAGTGATGATGAAATACATAGGAGCTGCTCAAAAAGGTCTCATATTGAAGAAACCTCTGAAGTAATTGCTCCCTCCACTCCCAGAAAATATTTCAGTGAAGACATACTTCTCAATAACTGTGCTAGATCCTCTTGATCAGATTGTCTATTAGCAAAGCTTGCTCTCTCTCTCTCTCTCTCTCTTAGGTTGTCTATTAGCAAAGCTTGCTCTTTCTTTCTTTCTTTCTTTCTTTCAAGAACATTTTAAATTTCCCTCTTCAACTTTCTGATGTGCCTCAATTAAATCTTGATAACTTTTCTAACCTTGATTCTATTTTTGCAGAACATTTTACATTTCCCCCTTCAACTTTCTGATGTGCCTTAATTAAATCTTGACAACTTTTCTAACCTTGATTCTATTTTTGCACTGGACTAATTGCTGCTTTAAAATATTTATGTTGTGCTGTAATTGGGATCACTCAGCTGATAATATTTTTAGCAAAATGCTGTTGGATTTGACTATTGTGTTAATGGATGAGTTTGAATGCCAAATTGTCATTTGGTGCACGGTTGGTTAATAAAATAAAGAGCTGATTACCTGTGCTATAAGGCAGCAGTCCCCAACCTTGGGCCTCCAGATGTTGTTGGTCTTCAACTCCCAGAAATCCTGGCCAGCAGAAGTGGTAATGAAGGCTTTTGGAAGTTGTAGTCCAAGAACATCTGGAGGCCCAAGGTTGGGGACCACTGCTATAAGGAACCGAAGCTGCTCTTCTACTGCTATAATATCAATTGTATCTCAGAAGTTTTCAAGCTTATGGAAATATGACAGAAATGTCATAAAAACAAGGATATTTCCCAGCTGTGGTGGACTTTGCAAAGCACTTGGCAAAGTATTTTTTTCCAGAGAAAGTGTAAATCTTAAAACATTTTAATGTGTGCGGATATTAAAATAGAAGTTAAATAAATAAATAAATATTTGGATCTACATATGTCAATACAGCACCTGCTTTTGTGGGAAGGACATCACATAAAAATACAGTAGATACCGGCTATGTACTTTAGCTTATAGGGAGCACACAAACATGTTTTTAATTTGCTTGCAAAATTATGCAGTGATATATTTGTTTTTAAAAGAAGTTTTATTCCTATGTAAATGGAAAGTTAGTATCAAACATGCATACAAAACAAATTGTTCATGATGAGGACTGAAATCTAGTAAAGTTGCACTGTATAAGGCTGATGATGTCATAAACCATTGCTGTTTTATCAGGAATTGAAAGTTTTAGATTGTCCTCCCCAAAGATTTCAAAGTTCCCTTTGGATCCCCTTTGTTCTACAGAAGCCATTTAAAGTCACAGGATGGGAAACTTGAATTTCTGAAAGCTGATAAAAATAATTTATTTAGTGGTGATTTTCAGAAATCAAAGCTTTCTCCCCCATCCTGCATACATATTGGATAGATAGAATGATGGTTGAGGGTTCATCCTCAGTAGCACTTCCATTCCCCCCCCCCCCGTTGTGGCAAGCAAGAGATGGGATTTGGGGAGGAAAGAAAAGAATCACAGTGGAGATCTGATGGGGGATAAGAGAGGGAGAGAGAGAATGGTACAAGAAGAGAAAGGGAAACAGAGGAAAATAAGGAAGGGAGGCAAATGACATAAGAACATAAGAGCCCTTTTGGATCAGGCCAAGGGCCCATCTAGAGGGGGATGTCTGTAGGAGCCCACAAGACAATGAGATCCCTGTCTCCTGGTCCCCCTCCCGTGCATCTGGCATTTTGAGTGACCTTCCTTCTAAGCCTGATTATGCATCCCCATCATGGCTTGTAACCTGCAATGGACTTTTCCTCCAGGAATCTGTCCAATCCCTTTTTAAAGGCATCTAGGCCAGATGCCATCATCACATCCTGTGGCAAGAAGTTCCACAGACTAGCAACATGCTGGGTAAAAAATGTTATTTTATCTGTCCTCATTCTCCCAACACTCAATTTGTGTGGATGTCCCCTGATGGTGATATTGCATGAGAGGGAAAAGAGCTTCCCTCTCTCCACTTTATCCATCCCCTGCATAATTTGACCTAGTCAGGAGGGATGTGGGGTGGTTGCCTGGATTGCAGAAAAGGTGGAGGACTGAATAAATGGAAGTAAGGGAGGGAGGGAATGTTGCACAGGACGGGCAAAGAGGCAGCTGCGGGAATGGGTTGGTGGAGGTGGGAGGAGGACGGTTGGAGGGAGCCCTTGTTAGGTGAACCAGGATCTCCCCCATCTCACCCTCCCTTGCTCTCAGAGGGCAGCATGGCTGGGTTGGGGCTTCTACCGTTCCACCTCTAGTCCATGTTACTACCATGTGACTTCAACCTGATTTCAGAAACCCCAATCCGGTTACCGACTCATTCTCCTAGTGTAACCATGCTCTCACTTTGGAAGCCCTCTAGGATATATAAGCCCATTCCAATGTGACAGCCTATAGCTAGCTCCCATCTTGCAGTACCCAATGGCATCTCCAGGACAAAAGGGATGCCAAGGCAGCCTTTGAACTGTTGGACTCCTGAAAAATAACTGTTTCACATGACATCATCCACTTTATGCCATGTCTGAGAGAGGTTTTTAAATGGAGTGTTGTGCCTTGTTGCTCTACTTTACCATTTTTAGTGTGGGATTTGTTTGATTCTTAATATCTGCATATTACTGTACAGTGGTGCCTCGCTATGTGAAAACATCGCTGTACGGAACGGGGAAGCCCATTGGAACGCATTAAACATCGATGTTTAATGCGTTCCAATGGGCTTCCCCGTTCCGTACAGCGATGTTTTCACATAGCGAGGCACCACTGTACAGTAATATGCAGATATTAAGAATCAAACAAATCCCACACTAAAAATGGTAAAGTAGAGCAACAAGGCACAACACTCCATTTAAAAACCTCTCTCAGACATGGCATAAAGTGGATGATGTCATGTGAAACAGTTATTTTTCAGGAGTCCAACAGTTCAAAGGCTGCCTTGGCATCCCTTTTGTCCTGGAGATGCCATTGGGTACTCCAAGATGGGAGCTAGCTATAGGCTATCACTTTGGAATGGGCTTATATATCCTAAGAGTACAGTTTATATGAGTCCTCCCAACTGGCTATGCTGGTGAGGTGTGCTGGGAGTTGCAGTTTAATCATATAGATTCCCCATCCTGGAAAGAAAGGTGTATTGAAAGTATTTTAATCTACCATTGAAAAAGTACAGCAACATTGTATTAGCAACATATGATTGTGGAGATAGAATTTTCCATTTTGTGAATGGAAAGGGTTTTTTTTTTTAATTGTTGCTGTTTAAAGGTCATATCCTTAGGAATACAGGCTGGGGAACTAAAATCTTAAATGCCATTATCTGCACAAAGGAATGAAAGCTGGGTGTGATGAAGTATAAATGCACAGTGAACAAGCAGCTGTGATAAAGTTGAAACATTTTGTCTCCATCTTCCAGTCGCAAGTACAGTGGTGCCTTGCTTAGCGATGCCTCGTTTAAGGATGTATTCGCTTAGCGATGAGGTTTTTGGAGTGATCTTGCGCTCTGTTTAGCAATGTTTCCAATGGGGAAATTTCGCATAGAGATGTTCGGGACCTTGCTTCGCTTAGCGATGACAATTTAAGTCCCCCTGTTTCGCTTAGCGATGTCCGTTTTCGCTATTTTAAGTGTGTCTTAAAATGTTCAAAAACTGTTTAAAATGCTTGGAATTGTTAGTGCACCCTGTAAAACCTTTGCAAACTTAATTTGGCTTTGTTCTGAGTCTTCGTTAATTTTTGGTGAATTTTCCCCCCCATTGGAATGTATTGAACTGTAGGTTTGACAGCTGTATTCTGAGCCATATATCACATAGTGCAACCCAATATTGCATTTTCAGAAAAAAAATTAAATTGAATTTAAAGGGACTTACTCCCATGTAGCTGAGTATATCATTGTAATGAAATCATGTGAAGTAGCCTGCCCTGAACTAGCATTTCCTGCGTTTTTACCGGCTTAGGTGGATCTTTAGAAAAATTTAAAAATTTGGTCAAGACAAGAGCATGTTCCACTCAACTATATTTTTTTTCTAGGAAAAATGTGATTGGTTTAAAGGCAATGAATGGTTACTCTTCTGTAATACAACTCCCAGCATCCCTCAGCCACCAGGGCACTGATTGGGAGCTGATAGTCCAAAAATTATTATTTTTTTCCCAGGCTGTGGTGGGTGTTGTGGATCAGCTGACATCTAAATTGTACACACAGTGACTCAGGAGGAAGTAGATGTGGGAAAGGTAGCAGTGAAAGCCTGAACTCCCTGGTATTCCCAGATGAAAGGCAAGTGGTGTGTATGCCCCTACCTCAGAGATAATGAAAAATTCTGCCTTACACTAGCCTTGAAAATAAATTGCCAATGGTCTGTCTTACAAGCTTTTGAATTTGGAAGGGAGGAATGCCACCTCTTGTCTTTTGCTTTGGACAATAAAATGCCTTGGATCCTCCTTGTAAATTATCAATTTCCTCCAAAGTTTGAGGGAACATCAGAAGGAGGGGACAACACCAAACCTTTCTCTCTCTGCTTCCCCTCTTGCCAGCTCAGTAATGTCCTACCCCAGAGCCAAGAACAAAGCTTTTCTTGATGGAGAGGGGAAAT